GCCATCTGTCAAAATACTGACAGAAGACACAAAAATACCAAGCTCTTCTATGTATTTAATTTCTTAAAAAATAAATATCCTCAACCAGTTAAAAATGGCAGCTTAAAAAATGACTAGCTCCTGACCCCCTAAATTTAGAAACACCACTCAAAATATTTAACAGATGTAATAATTAATTCCTTGACTTGAATCATTTTTAAGTTAGGAATCACAAACTCAGACATCAACAGAGCACAGGCTGTGATATTTATGTCACAGTGATGAATTGGAGAGCATATACCCAACTTAAGAGGCACAACAGTTACTACCAGTTATTTTCATGCAAGTCTGTGGGCCCACTTTCTAGATTTTGTAATTTCTCAAGAAAAGCTCCAGATTTTAATGTGCAGTCTCTTAACATTACCTGCAAGCAACTGTTTTCAATATATCCAAAGATCTGTGTGACCCGAGCAACAGATGCCAGTTGGCCAAATCTACATTACTGATGACCCAAAGGAAACCTGTGGTGGTTAGTGTTAGAGGCTTTAACTTTAGATACTGCAACTATTTATAGATATCCAAGCTTTGCAATTTTGGAAGTGAAAATACCTCTTAAATGGAGTATTTAAAAACTTGATTATTTTCATATTACATACATTCTTCATCTGTATAAGTATACATTCTCAGAGTAAGTAGAAGGCATAGTATTAGCACTATCATAAAATACTAGAGCACTTGTAAGTTAGGTTATTTTGGCCCTCAGTTTGTTTTGAGGCATCTGGTTAAGATTTTTGGGCTAATATAGAGTACTTTCATTTATGTTATAAACCAGATGATACCAAGGACAACTTCCACATAAAATCATGTTTCACTCGCTATAAACATTCTTATCAATTTATAGTTTAAGTTTAAAAGTTGCAATAAATATACATTGACATTTTATTATATGTCTAGTATTTTGATGTGTTATATAGCTTTTAGAAAATACTTCTTTTAAAGTTTAGAAAAATTTTGTGCACAAGGAGCTTACAGTTCTCACTTAAAATTAAGTAAAAGGTGGCCACCAATCACAAAATTATACAGTAAACTGCGTAGACTATAAAATAGAATTTAAAATCATATTTATACAGGCATACATGTATACATATCTGCAGATAGATCACTATGGAGAGCAATAGGGGAAACAGTAATTATATAACTGTATATACATATTAATAGAGTGGTAAATTATATAACTCAGACCATCAGATATTTTGCTTCCACACTGAACCCTTCCCTCGGCTTAAATCTCTCACTTCACCCTGCCTTATTTTCCCCTCAGCTTTGAGAAATGTGCGAAGAGGTGACTCAGCTTAAAAACTTCCTTCAAATTTGTGGGTTCTCCTAACTATCATTTTGGTTATAACCTTTCACTGTGAGGTTATCAAAAGCCATATTTGTGTTGGCTGCCTCAAAATCCTGTTAGTGCTAAAAAATCCCTGAAGTGTGACCAGTAGTTGAGAAGTCCCACTCCAGGGCCAATCCTGTCAGTCTCTATCATGGGCAATTACAAAAGCTTCACCTGGCAACCCCCCAGGAGAAACTGCCCTCCCCGCACCAGGGACAGTGCACAGTATGGAGGAGTTGCAGTCAAGGACTCAGTCCCTCAACCCCTAGGCCAGCTGTGCTCTTCTGCATAGCATGTCTGCATTCCTAGCCCTGGTGCCTGTATTCAGAGACCTTCTTTTTGGAGGCCCTTAACCGTGGCCTTTTTTAAAAATGTCTCTGTCAAGGCCATCTTAGGAGGGCCTTGAAGACTCCTTTCTCCACTCTGATTCACTATTCAGTACTTTTCTGCTCCTAGCCCTTTCTCCTTTCCCCCTCTCTGGCTTGTTCCCTCCCTTCAAAACAAAACAAACACAACACAACACAAAACCCATCAGGACCTTTAGTTCAGGGCTCCCTCAGCAGAGAGACAATGCCTTGCTTCTGCACTGATACTTCTAACCTTAGCCCAGTGCCATTTTCTGGGAAAAAAAGGGACATTGATGAAGACAGCACCTTCTTTCTGGCCTCTTGCTTATACCATAGCAGTAAGTGAATAAAGGCTGAATTACTACTTTCATTTTGGCTTGTTTTAGTTGACTACTCTGACAGCTCAGTTCCTGTCAGCTCAGCTCTTGACAGTAGCTTTCCATACTGTAATGTAGATAACTTATACAAGTCATCCAAAATCTGATATGCAGACCCAGTATAGTGTACCGTTTACTGATTATCTAATCATTTATTATCTCATTTATTTGAGATGCTTGACAACCCCCTTTGCCCATCCCTGAGAAGTCTTACCATTTGGAACTCAGAACCTACAGAAAGGTCGTGATGATTGGAGTCAGATTATTTTAATATTAGGCTCTGCTTCTTACCTCATAGAGGAATAAATCACAAAGAATCTCTGGGCCTTGATTCCCATATCTTTATTATAATAAGGACATAACATTACTAATACAAATATCTCAAAAAATGTTTTGAGGATTAAAACTAAAATGATTGTTGTAACCTTTTTTGAAAATTCTACAAAGTCATTACTTTTTACTAGACTTTACTCCTATTTCAGTGACTGTTTTTTTTCTTACTACTTATGATTCCTTTTCCCATGTCATTACCCAGAAGCTCTCATTGAAATAAATCATTAAGCTTTACTCTTTATTGTCTTCCTCGCAAGTCCTAATGATGCAACATTTTATTTAAATATCTAAAAATGTAATATTTCAGTGAAAAATGGTCAAATTAAACATTCTGGAATCTAAGGACTGTTGCAATAGGAAAATACACTCAAATGATTTTTTTAAATTTTTAGTAAAGTTATTTTGAAATTACTTATTCTCTTCACAAAAGAATAAATTTCACTTTACAGATAAATTGTCATATATACTTTTTTCCTTTTTCCTCCATGTCTTCTTTCTTCTCCTCAGTGTATTTCTCTGTCATTCCTTTACAGCTGCTGCACAAAATGTCTGATCATGAGCAACATGGGTTTCAGAGATGCTCATCTTTCTGGCGTAGTAGTGATGATTCCTCTTCCTGTCTAAATATTTCTTCCATTACTGTCACTCCTGTCAACTCGCCTGATTCCAGACTGTCATTGGGACTGTTAATACCACCACCTTCTAAATGTGGCCTTCCCAAGCCAATCAGTGAGAGCAGCATCCCAAGACCTCATGTAATTTGCTAAGCAGAAAATTCTTTTTCATTATCCCACGTATTTTTTTTTAAACTCTACTAAAATGTGCCATTTATATCATAATGAAAAACATCAGGTATGTCTTGAATCAATGTGATGGGACCTGGCGACTTTGTGTGCTATTTTTGCTTCCTTTGGTTACCTGATATCAGAGTTTCAAGTAGAGAGTGGTGCTGGTGTACAAGCCACAGAAAGGCGAGTTAGGACAGGTGACTTCAAAGGACCCTCAGATATGGCAACTGGGAAGTTAGATTGTCAGTAATATTGGTAAAAGCAGCTTTAGTGACATTTGGTACAAAAAGAGCAAAGTCTCGGTTGATATGAGTTAGTACCTCTTCCAAGAAAGTTAGCCATAAGGGAAAAAGTAGAGATGAGAGGTTTAGAGGAGTCAGACATTTTTGGTTGGTTGGTTTTGTTTTCAAGAACAGTCAGGATATGGGTGTCTTTATATCCTGAGAAAGAGGAGAGAGAGGGAAGACAGGGCAGATAGAGGGATGGATTGATCAGGAAAACAATATTCCTGAATTGGAGGAAATAGCTGGGGGATAAAGTTGCCTCAAAGTCTTTGGACAATATTTGTGACTGATAAAGTGAGCATGTTGTTAAAGAAAAGGAGATGACACCAGTTTTCCTGCATGAAAAATGTACCAGCAGTCATATTAGCTGAATAGTAACTCTGTCACTCTTTGCACACAATCAACCTTATTTTTCTTCCATTACTTTCATTATCTGTGAATCACAAAAATAAATGTATTCTGAAAAGTCTAATTTTACTGTGAAACACACAAAATAACCTCTGTTCATGTTCTTTGAGGAAAGGCAAGTTTTTTCTTACTATTCCTCACCAAAATGGGAATTTTCTTTCTTTTCTAGATTGTATGTGCATGTATGTGTGTTTTTTTCCCCCTGAATGACAAAGTGATGATTGTTTCATTTTTTTTAATAAAGATTTTTATTTATTTATTTGACAGAGAGACAGCGAGAGCAGGAACACAAGCAGGGGGAGTGGGAGAGGTTTCCCGCCGAGCAGGGAGCCTGATGCGGGGCTCGATCCCAGGACCCTGGGATCATGACCTGAGCAGAAGGCAGACGCTTAATGAACCACTGAGCCACCCAGGCGCCCCCGATTGTTTCATTCTTATGTTACATCTTGACCCAGACTGACCCAGATAACTTAATGATTTGGGTAGTATATTTAGTGATTATTAATTATTTTGCAAGGTAGCTCTTATCATAGAAAACTTAATGAACTCTTACCCAGGAATAAAAGGCACTGCAGTGAATATAATAGTTGGCTGTCATTGTAGTTATAAATACGGATTAACTTATACTCTTCGAAATTTTTTTAAGTGGCTATCAATTGCATTTGAATGGTCATATTTAAGAAGGTGCATTACTTATGTTCAGTTATTTCTGTTTCTAACTTATGGAGAATATATTACAGAAATCATGTTTTTATATAGTTTCTAATATTTTCAATTCTCTGATACAAATGGCAATTGTTTAGATATACAAAAATATCTAATATCTTTTATATCTATCTACAATAGTATTGTCACCATTTTTGCCATCATCTTTAAGGTCATTGTTGCAGAAATTTTCTGTTGCTTTCTTTCCAATGAATATTGGGTACCTGGTTAAATCATATGGAATTGCCAACATTTGATCTAGAAAATGGCAAGTTCATATGATTCAACTGAATTTGTTGTTGTTTATCTATGTTCTCTATGCATATAAAATATTTAGCATTATAATGTGTCTACCTGAAATACTGCCTTAATTCACACTATTTTCATTGCAGGCGGGCAGTGTGACACCTAAGTCACCCTCCACTGACATCTTTGATATGATACCATTTTCTCCGATATCACACCCAGCTTCGATGCCTACTCGCAATGGCACACAGCCACCTCCAATACCTAGTAGATCTACTGAGATTAGTAAGCTTTCTAAACCAATATTCTTTGCTACATTTGTGTAGATTTTAAATGTTTAATTGACACTTTATGGAAAATATCATATCTTTAGTTCACTAAAAGTGTTAATTACCAAAGAATTATGTCTACTTGTGCCAAATCAGCTAATCATATTTAACTTTATAATTCAGAGTATACTACTAAAGACATCACTATTGCATCTGAAGCTATTTTATGAAAAATGATATTTTTGGTATAGGGTTATTTATATCAATACAAAGCATTTAATTATATTTTATTGTATTGGGGGTTATACTTTTAATGTTTTAATGGTTAAAAACAACTTGGTGGTAATTATTTTAATATTTTTGACATGTTTAGTAGAGCTCATTATAAATTTTTTGTTATCATAGAGTATAGGAATATTCTTAAAGAAATACATAAATACATGAATTCCATGATTCGTTTATTTATTAATCCTGTATAAGTGTTCTCTCTTGATATCTAAAATACTATACATGCATCGCTTTTCTGATTTATCTTCTATACATTTGGAAGGAACATAAGAGTCTCTTACTGATGAATTAGAAAGTATCCAACGATGCTCATTTTCAATGTCGTGATTGTATTTTGATCTGTGCCCTGTCACAGAAACTTACAGAGTAGTTCCCAATGGCCATGCTCAGTCATTATGTCCAGAGGAAACTGAAGAAAAGAGAGTTTTACATACTATGCTTTATTGCATCCTCTCTGGTTCACATTAAGACATTTTCAATATAACTCTTAAGTTTTAGCTTGGGCTTAAAGTATGTCAGGGCCTTTAATTTATTTGTTTCCCTCTATGGAACTTACCAAAATATATTACACATGTTAGATATTCAATAAATTTTAGAGAATTAATTTGTAAATGCAAAGTAATAACATTATAAACTTCAAAAATCATTTTACAAAAATATATCAGTACTTTTACATAAATTGAAATATATATTGAAATTCCTCTGAATATATTTTGTACCAATGCAAAGTATTTTTTCAGGAAATAATCTATAATATATGAGCCATAGTGTGTTTTTAGCAAAGTTGCCAATATCCTGATACATAATGGGGCATTTTTTTGTCTTTATGAGTATCCCACATCTCTTCCTTTACTGTTTTTTAATTCCTTGGACTTAACCACTGGTTTACTCATTCATTTATTTAGTCCAATGGGCATTTGTATAGCATATATGCTAGACTTGGGTTACAAGCTGGAATTTGAAATATAAATTAGTGATATATCTACCGAAGAGGATTTTAATCAAAGCCAAAATAGAAATTGAGAAGACTGGATAGATTTGAAAATATTTAGAAGGAATAATCTATCAGGATGGTGATTGAGAGTTCATAATCAATTATGACTCAGGATTTTAGACTGAATGTTGTTAACAGGCAAAACTAGAGGTAGAAAGGTGAAAAATGTATTCCGTTGTAGACACTGATAAATTTGATGTGCTTTTAGAAAATCTAGGCAAAGATGCTCAGATAGTTTTAAGGAATTTTTTAATGAGAAACTGAAGTAACACCTTGCTACATTTTTTAATATCTAATGATCCTGAGTGCCAAAGTTTAGTAAATACAATGAAAGATAGATGATGATAGGTAGGTAGATAGATAGATAGATAGATAGATAGATAGATAGATAGATAGATAGAATTCTAGATACCCCATACCATATCTGTCTATCTTTATAGCAAATGCTATTGGAAGAATGGTACAGACAGACTTACTTGATGCAGAATTTCCACAAATCTTTTTAATTTGTAAAAACCACAGTCTCTGTGAAGCACTGTAAAGCAAAGCACAATAAAATGAAATATGCTTGTAATGAAAATCTCTATTCTTCTTGATCAGCTCTTCTTCCTTTTCATTAATTGATTTCTTTTTTTTTAAGATTTTATTTATTTATTTGACAGAAAGAGAGAGAGCGAGAGCAGGAACACAACCAAGGGGAGTGGGAGAGGGAGAAGCAGGCTTCCTGCCAAGCAGGGAGCCCAGTGCGGGTCTCGATCCCAGGACCCTGGGATCATGACCTGAGCCAAAGGCAGACGCTTGACGACTGAGCCACTGAGGCACCCTCATTAATTCATTTCATTTCACGAACATCTATCATGTGTAAAGCATTGTTGGACAGGCTTGTGGTATGGTGGTAACCAGGGCACTCCTCCAAAGAAAAGTTCCTTTGTTCTCCAAGTTCTGATTTATTGCCTGAGCTACATCAGACTGAGGATAATAACAGTAATAATAACACCCATACCCATATGTAATACCTATATGCATTATATCATATATATGATATTCATATATAAGGTGACAATAAATTCCCATTTATTTAGGACAGTTCTGGTTTATAACTTTTATCCTGCTTTAACTGTTGGTAGCGTTCCTTTTACTCTTAAAAGTGTCTTTTATTTGGATGATAAAGTATATGTCCCTCTTAGTTATACAATACTTACCAGCACCAGGAACTTATAAAAATTTTTTATTTATTTAATACATGAATTTGAAAAAAAAAACAGTTATAATTAGAAAAGCAAGAGTCTTTTATAATGAGGGTCACAGATTAATTTACATGATATGGTAGAACTCAAGGAACATAAATACTACTTCTTACATAGCATGGAATTTTGAGGATATAGTTTTTCTTAATATATTATAAATTCCCATGCACCTATATAATTTTAAAAAATTGTGTCCATTAAGGCTGCATTGAAATTGATTCAGAAGAAAGAAATTTCATAATTTTTAAATTTTTAAATAACAGGCCATAGTTTTACCAATTTTAACTTTGATACTTATTTAGTGGTTAAAAAAGTATGTACTTTAGAATGTATGTTACAGAGACCTTTTTGATATTCCATTATTGCTATTTTTAAAAAGAAATTTGTTTCTGGGTTAGGAGACATTTTTAAAGAACCTGTCCCATTGTGTTTATTTAGGAAGGTGGTATAATTTCATAGTACATGAGACAATGTGCCTTAAGTTTTCTCTAAATAAATGTGAGATTAAGGTATAATGAGCTATGAGTAAAACTATTTACCAATCTACCTCAGTCCCTCATATTGCTTCATGATCTATTGTGTTACAAAGGCATCAGTAAAGGGAATAGAGAAGTCTCAATAAGTAATACGTTCACTGTGGTAAATTTAAACTGCTTCAGTAAAAATGCAGGTATTGTAATACGGTAATTTCAAATATTTGGTGAATTTGATATTGAGAAGTCTTAATTAAAGACACAGAAATCTCTCTGGATAATAATTCCTTGAAACCAGAGAGTTTTTAATATTGTCATAAAATGGATCTTTGCTTCTTTGTTGGTCTAAGCTCAGGAAAGCCCAGCATAAAGTGTGTGTGGATAGGAGCTCATTTGGCCATATGAGTAGTTCTTTATATAATCTTGCCTTGGAAACCTAACTCACCCCAACTCACTTCTTGTCATTTCATTTACTAAATTATTTTCCTCCTTTTAGAACGAGACCTGTTTGGAGCAGAACCTTTTGACCCATTTAACTGTGGCGCAGGGGATTTTCCTCCAGATATTCAATCAAAATTAGATGAAATGCAGGTGACTATTTTAATAGATTGGCCTATAAATGGTTTATTTCTTTTTAATATGGGACACAGAAAATGGACACAAAGAAATTTGGACACACCAAAACTACCCTTTCCTTGAATTATTATCACTATAAAAACCTACTTGAAACAATTGCTTTAAAATATTCATATACATTTAGTCCTAAAAATACTCCTATGCGTGCTAAGGATGGGTCTTACTTTGTTCTCTTTTGTTTTTAGTAGTGTGATTTACAATGGCAATAAGTTGGTTCTTTTTTTATACAAAATTACATGGATTCTAGTGGTTCATTACTTTGAAATCCAAAAATTACAAGGTAATTTCACTAGGTTTACAAGATTTTGTCTCAGTTCTACCAGTTACGAAGTTCAAATTGTGAATGGGTAGATGAAGGAAAATCTTTGTGAGAGTAAAATCAGTCTCTTTTAAAAGAGGCATTGTAGCTGTGGTTCCTAACTTCTGGACTCTTTGGAAAAGCAGGAACCCAGTGGCACCTTCTTTAGTAACGTAGTCCAGTTGGGTTTTCACTTCTCTTTCCCTTTTTCAATTCTCAATTGTACTGGAAGTTTGAAGATACTGGTTTCTTTTTATGGTGGGCCATGATTAATAAATGGTCTTAAAAGCACCAGAAAAAAAAAATCTTCTCTTTATATTTGCCCTTTACATTTTGGTGAAGTTAATATATCTTATTTTTTATCTAAAAGACTATTTGTATGGTAGAATGTAGGCAAAGACCAATTATAGGAAACTGATTGAGAAGAGGCAGCGAAGAGAAGGAGTCATTCCTGTTTATTAGGTGATTCATTCTCTGTGCTTCATTTCCTGGACAAAACAATTAATAGTGGATTCTGATCTTCTAATACTGGTGGAACACCCCTTCCTAGAAAGATAATATTAATATCCTTCCACTCATTTTGGACTACAGCTGTGAAGCAGTTGTCTTCTTTTCTAGGTATTCTGTGAATTTCCTTATTGTTCTAGATAGAATAATGCCTGCATCTTAACAGTTGGATTATTTTGACATACGCCTTGAGATTTTCAAAGAATATGTTCAAACAGCATTTCTCAAGTTGGGTGATTGATAATTTTCTTTTACATGAAAAAATTATTTTAAATCCTTTATATTGACTTAAATTGTAACACTTCTTAAGTATTTACCAAAAAAGTTATAAATAACTTAGCCTTACAGCTCCTATACAACTGTTAATTCAAAAATTTTAAGTTAAATGAAAGCAAAATTACAATACCTAATAAAATTCAAATTAAGAACTTCAACACGTTGGGTGATGTTATTTGGCTGAAACCAAAACCACCGATGTCAAACTTCTATTGACTTCAGCATGTATCCTGTTTGGTGGTACAATTTCTCTCCCTCTTTTCTATATTTCAAATACTATGAAATACTTTCACTCAAATAGTGCGTGATTACTTAGCAAGAATATCTATTTCATATGAAATCAATCCCTTCCTTTTTTATTAGTTTTACCAGTTAGGTTTGTGCTCCTTGGGATTAATGCTTTTATAAGAACAAACACAAACATGGGCACTGATGTGGTGGTGTTTGTTCTCAAGCATTATGCAAATCACAAAGAGTACTTTTCTATTAATGTTTTTTTAATTTTCACAAGACTGAAAAATTTTCTATAGATTTTTTTATTTTTTTAAATAAACCTACATTTGCAGATTTTTGTAGGAACTAACTTTGAGAGACACTGTATTGGAATGATTTAGTGATGTGTTAGTTAAATAAGGTTAAGCTGTGGTATTTTTGCTTCTGTTTTTGTTTTTGCCATTTCTAATATTTTCTTAATGTCTTTTTTATTCTTTTCTGCTTTCATGGTGGGTAGCGCCAGAGATGGTTGGTATATTATTTTCATAATAATTTTAAGCAACTTACAACTTCTTAAAGCTAAAACCTTAATATTTGCATGCTTTACTTAATAAATATTCAAACAGCAGTTTCATATGGTTGTTTCTGATTGTTGTGTTTAAAGAGGTTTTATAATCTGTATTTTAAAGTTATTTTTTTCAATGGTGTAGTCTCTATTGCATTATCCACCTCATTGCTTGTCTGATTGTTTTGTTTTGTTTTGTTTTGTTTTTTTAGTTCAAGATTTACTTGCAAGGTCACTTTAAAGTAAAATAATATTTTCTTCATCTAAAGCCTGTGACAACTTTTGTTATTAATTTTGTTAGCCTAATTAAGCTAATGCACACTTTTGACTACTATTTTTATCTTTGTATATAATGTAAAAACAGTACAGTACAGTGGGTTGTATAAATAATATTGAGTTAATAAGCGTAGGGAGATATTTGGGTTTTCTCTTTCACTTACAGAGGAAATCACAAAAGTATCTTGTGCGTGTCAGAATGTAAGCAGAAATGTGAAGTCGTATTGTACTATAAATTGTTAGAGAATTAAATATTTATTTGAACTCAATAACGTGGTTATTTAATTTGACATAATTTGAACTTCCTGGGACATGTCACTGACAGGCAAATCAGTAAAATAGTATCGACAGCCTAGAAGTGTACCTTCTAAGTTATAATAATTTAATACCTTTAAAAAGGAGCTTGGCAAGAAAGATGGAAGAATTTTGCATGCAGGGGTGTTAAGTCAGCTGGTTAATAATTTGGTAGAAGATCAGTGCACAGCTGTAACTTACAACAAATATCCAAGTAAATTTCAGAAAGATTAGTCAGTTTAAAAAATGTTTGAAAATACAACTGAATATTTATCAGACTTTTGAATTGGAAAGAAATTTTTATAAGGAAAAGAAAAATATGTAGTTTTATAGTTTCTATAGTCTTTTGTAAATTTTTTCTTTTCTCTTTAAAAATATATAAATATATCACATATACATAATTAAGGTAAGTAGACAAATAATTAGATAACTTAATCAGATAAATAAAAACCTAGCAGTTCACAAAAGGCCATGGTTTTTATGCATGTAGCAATCTGACCAAAGAAAATCTACAAATTAAATAAAGAATTAGAAATGCTGTTTTAATGAAGCAAATCAAACATTTTATTTCCTTGCTAATAATCAGTACAGGTGAAAGTATGATGAGACAAGCCCTCTAACTCATTGCTGGGCCACGGTCAGTTCATAGCATCCCTTCGGAGAGTAATTTGTTAGTAAACCTTATATTTTCATTTGAGATCAGAAACTTTAATACAATCTGTTCTGAGGAAAAAAAATGACTAAAAATGTGGAAAATTTCTGTGGGCAAAAGCTTCTAGTTAACTTTTTTCATAATTATAAATACTGGAAACAGTTAAATCACATTAAAAATAATAGTTTGGTGGTTGCCAGAAGGAAGAGAAGAGACAGGATTAAGAGGTACAAACTTCCAGTTATAAAGTAAATAAGTCACAGGGATGAAAAGTATAGGGAATATAGTCAATAATATTAATAATGACTTTTTATGGTGACAGATGGTAACTACACGTATTGTGGGGACATTTCATAATGTATATAAATATTGAATCACTATGTTATATACTCAAAACTAACATAATAATTGTGTATCAACTATACTTGAATTTTTAAAAAAATTAATAGGATATTATATAATCATTAAATTAGTTTCATGGGGACTCAATAGGGAATGTTTGTTCCACTAAGTTTTAAAAAGAATATAGAAAATTATATATATGAAATACATAAGAAAGTTACATATGCCATATAGTTTTTATGTTATTATTAAAATTGTTTTAAAAAAACCTAGAGATAGAAAAAAAGGAGCCTCAAAGGACATACCTCAGTGTGTGGACAATTCTTGCAGAAGACTGGCTTTTCCTTGACATAATTTTCTCCCTATTTCAAAATAAGAAAATGCAATGGGGCAACATATTTTGTACGAAAAGTGTATTACTAGTAATATGTTAATAATAAAGTTATCATTTGCATGATACTAGCTTATGATCACTTCCATCACTAGATAAGTTAAATAAAGCCTGATTTTCATCCCAAGTTTTAAAATTCAAGAGGATATGGAAATCTGAGAAAGATTCACTGATCATTAAATCATGATTTACTAAATGAGACCTAGGAGGAAGGGTCAGAAACTGTGTGAAAAATTTTATGTTAGGTGTAAAGAAAACCAAGGAGAGAGAGAGAATATTATGGGTCTGTTAATAGGGATGATTAAAGTAACTGAAGGAGACTACAAAGGGATCCTTATAAAATCACTATGGAGATACTCTTGTAAATGATATACATTTTTTTTATTGTTGAAATCGTGACCAATCCCTATTTTACTATGATTGCTCTTCTGCCATTCAAACACAAACACACTGATAAATAGTATTTTCAGGGTAGTTGAAATGATAGTGGTTTCATTTCATAATGAACTGAGAAAAATTTTGAAATACTGTATAGTATCAAACCTTTCCCAGTTATTATATATACTCTCTCTCTCTCTATCTATCATCTATTTATCTGATGTATCAGAAGATGACATAGTACACAGATCCTCACATATCCAAATAAAATATTTATACGAAACAGTTAATTTACACTCTCTTTAGCTTTAAGTATTGACTCCTCTAAGTATTTGGCAACTGTTTAAAATGATATGCGTAGATATGACAAAGTATTTCTTCTTGTGATAAAAACAGGCTTTAAAAAAATAATGGTAAGTACTCTGACTTTTACTCAACTGACTATAATTTGTATTCTAAGTGCTGGGAAGAAGTTTTGGGAAACCTTTGCAGCGGTGGCATTGCCCCGTGGTCTTTGTGCTGTAGATACAGTGAAGAGCACTCTGAACGTTGAGAGCAAATGAGGTGTGGCTTGCAGTTTCATGATTTTCTCCCTCTCTATGATCATGTTCACACTGGATTTGTAATAAGGACATTTAGATACCTGTTGTAAACGAAAGCAATTTGGGGGAAGGCAAAGAAATACACAATTGGCTAACACACCAGTAGGTACAGTTTAATGAAATAAAATGCAAAGGAGAACAGAGGACAAAAGCCTTCTCACTGAGAGACATTTTATTTTCGGCAGGAATAGTCTGTTTACATTTCACTCACCAATAATGTGTCACATGGTCACCCCTTACTACACCTTAGCTCCTTGAACAAAATTTCAGTGGCCCCCAGTTCCTCTGATTAATGTGAGTCCATGCTTTCGATCTCTTCTTGGCACACCAGTGTACATAGATTACGGGCAAGAGTGGGGGGCGAGGGAGGTCGTAAATCTGGAGATAGCCCATTACCTTATGCGAAAAAGAAGAGAGCTCGGAGCAGAGGACAAACTTTTTTGCCACTAACTTTTAACTCAAAATCTTAGGGCGCTTGTGATGAGCACTGGGTGTTGTAAGCCAGCGATAAATCACTAAATCCTCCATGTGAAACAAATACTACACTGTACGTTAGCTCGCTGGAATTAAACAAAAACTTGGAAAAAAAAAATCTTAGGAGGAAAAAAAAAATTGTGTACTTGCTCTCAATAAATCAGGGGCGGCTTAACTTAACTTCCAGAAACATCTAAACCCTGCTAAGGGGAGTGAGACTCAAAGCAAAACTTAGAGCTACAAGCAATAGCAGGACTAGAGGAAGCCTTCTCCGTGACAAAGTGGTCTGCAGTTCTGTGTTCCACGTAGGATATGGCATTGCGCTTACTATTAAGTATTTTACCCAGGCCCTGGACAGGGATGAGAACTATCAGGCCATCTCAAACTTTTCATCAAATTTGAGGTCTAGCTATCTTACTTACATTTAAATGAATACTGATCCTGAAAGCCAGCAGAGGAGATGGAAGCTACCATAGAATGGCAGAATAGACTTTACTGAAAAAGAAACATTTAAGTCTTAAAGCCACTTAATTCCATGTATTTCTGTCTTCTTTTGTCTTTCGTCACATATGTTTACAACATTTCAACTGCTAATGGGTGTAAACAATTACCTGAGATACACACCAATATAAAAATTTGACAGACCAGCATTTGCCATATTGTTCCTTAGCTGATCGAAGCATGAAGATTTCAACTTCCATTCAGAGTCGTTTTATTTCGTGATTATCATCGTTATTATCATTATTATTATTGCCATGAGCATTTCTTATTTTAATGATTTTACTCTGTTTTACAGGAGGGGTTCAAAATGGGACTAACTCTTGAAGGCACAGTATTTTGTCTCGACCCATTAGACAGCAGGTGCTGATGTCAAGAACAAGAGATCCAGATTTGTGTTAAATTTGTTGTATATGCATATACATCACTCCTTATTACGTTATGACAGGTAGTATATGTGTGCCAATATATTTTTGAAGATCTTAACTTTTTGCAAATTATTTTAGTAAAATGTCCTTCACTATTGATCTATAATGTTTATTTTAAAAACAACTCACTGTATAGTAAATCATACTTTTATGTTCCTTTCTGTTTCTCTTGTAGATGAATTTATAATCAAAAAACAAATTATCCAAATATCTGTCTTGTGTCTGAGTTCTGAATAATTAGCATCTTGAAATTTGTGTTCATTTTCCAGGCTGCTAGTTTATTATTGATTCCCAAAAGCCATACCTTGATGATACCTTTCAAAGTCTTGAGGAGATATGCCAATGCCAAACTAAATATGTTCTATATTCAAACCAATAAGCATGTTACCTACCATCCATTAGAGATATGTTATTTTATGTGTTAAATGTTGTTCATATCATTGGCAAAATGTAGACTTTGACTATAATGCCACTAGGTCATTTTTAGCAGGTAAAATAGCAAAAATATAATTTCCAATAATAATTAAACCAAATAATTAGAGTATTTATTAGTAAAAGCAAAGTAATAATGTTAGCTATTATTATCATTTATACTCTAAATCTTTTCTTTATTTCATAAATAAGGATAATGGAAAAAAAATCTGCTCATTACAAAACACTTAAAATTTAATTTCTAATGAGGTAAGTTATATTGCTAAACATCTAAACATCATCTGGTCTAGTATTTTCTAAAAAAAATTTGGAATATATGCTGTCTATAGTTGCAATGTCTATTACCCACATTTACTTTACCAAATATATTTTTTCTCACTGAATGGTATTATTCTCATATTTTCTCCTTTGGTAAATATTTTCTCACCAAATTTTATTTTGTGATGCCCCCTTAGTTTTGATACTTTAAAATCTGTAACAATTATCCTTTATGAATCGTCAGTATTATTTAGCAATTTTAATTTGTATTTGTTTTTGTTGAAGTCAGAATCTCATTCTTTACAAAAATCAAGTGGCTTCTCAGTTTGGGCTAACACGAACTATAAAATTTTCTTGTACTTAATTCATAATGTGCTATGAACTCTGACCTTTAAAAATGTTTATTTTTCTACCTTGCCCATTATGTAAACAGACTTTAATTTGTACTCAGTGCAAGAGAATTTATGGTTAAAATTTATAATTTGGTTCATTGCATCATAAGAAAAATAGATTAAATTAATGAAAATGTGAGTTTAGATTAGGGGTAGATCTCAAAATAGATTTTTCTTTTACTCATGGGAATTTTTGTCAAGTGCTAAAGGTACATATTCACTAGGAAAAGAAATCAAATATGCTTATGCAATATTATCTTTGTATGTATATTCATAATGTTCTATGGTATATATAAGCCTTCTTAGGTGTTTTCTGTTATCTGCTAAGTTGTACCTTAATTAGAGGTTAGTATATGTTTCATAAAGAAGAATCTTTATAATTTTGTTTGTCATATAGTATTTTGGAATTTGTATAATGATGTTTAGAAGCCATATGAATGGCTTTTTTTTAACAGATAGAATTTGTATTTTTATTGTACTTTAAAAGCTTTATGTAATAGGTATATATTCAGTGGCCATTTATTACCAATGGTAACACAGTAGAGTACTAAGATGGTATTTGCACACTTAAGATATGTTACTTTACCAATTTTTAATGGTAATCAGTTCTGCTACTGGCATGACTAAATAGTACATAATTGGTCATTAATTATGAACATTTATTTCACCAGTGCATTTTTATGAAAATCCAGTTGAAAATGGTATTTCTATGTAAACTCAGTGATATGTTTGATTTTGCTGAGAATAAATGATTTTAAATAAATAATTGTATATTTACTCATTAAATAATCTCTGGTTAAGTTAGAAACATTCTGAAGCTAATCACATGACAAGGTTTCCAGGTCAAAAAATGAGGCCTAAGAGTGGAAGGAAGGAAGGAAGGAAGGAAGGAAAGAAGGAAAGGAGGGGAGGAAGGGAGGAGAAAAGAAAGGAAAAGAATTAATGAACTTTAACTTCATTTCTTACAGCCCACACACATTTTAGCTTTATAAGCAAATTTCATTCAGTTGTGAAAACAGTGGACTCGATCCTGCTGGTGAGAGAGGTCATAATTTGGTTCCTTTCAAGAAGCGCCTGGTGCAGTAACTGTATTAATAATAACTCTTCAAAATTGAGAGCCTTTTTAGTGTAGTAATAATATAAAGGGTTTCTTGGTAGATAGTCTTTAAAAGGTAGACTTGATAATAAGATCTGAGTTGTGGCTTATTGGAATATCTTAACATTTTGAACTTTTTGAAAACAGAATATTAAGTATTTTAAAGATTCACAGGACTCACATGTACGTTCTTTGCACACCAGTGAACAATTCATCAACCCATTCAATAAAGCTTATTTATTACTCACTTTACATGATAACATATAGTATGTGGATAAGAGAACGTCTAGTAAGTTTGCTTACTTAACATTGTTTAAATTGAAGGGGACCAGTTCCTGCCTTCGGTTAGTTTATTGTCATAAAGGAAAAGTAAGGCAATATATGAATTAATAGGTGAAAACCAATATGTTCTAAAGTACCGTGTGAACCAAAAACTTCCCATAAGACGTTTATATTTAACTATGTTTAAATGTGGGCACCTAGCACTGGCTAGTGTCTACAGTGTTAGATATCCACTGTGAGACTATCAAGACAGTCCAATGGCAATAATTTTCTCTTCTTATTTCTTTCATTTGGGATTTGAATTTTTTTTTCAAAAAATTTTGGTTACATTATGGGAATTTATTTTTCAGATAGAATTTCTGATAGATTTTACATTGTTGCATTTCTGAATGTTTTTTTTTTACTCTTTTTGATATTACTTAACATAACCATGAAAAAAACTAGCTGCTAATATTTTTCTGTTCCAGTGTTTCCATATATAGTTCCAAATTCAGTATTTATTCATGATTTTGGATTTCAACCTCTGTTAAATTAGTTGGAGAATCTTGGACTCAATTTTGACAACTAAATCTCGGACTCCACCTAAATTACACCCTTTCTAGCTGGTTAACCCACTGCTGAGATGGGCGTGGCTAGAATTGCCCTCAGATCCCCCTATCTCATGCAGGAAGGGCCTAACTTGTGTCCTCTTCTTCCTAGATAAGCTCAGATAAATTTCTCAAGAACTTCCTCCTTCAATGTCCATCTCATAAATGGGACAAAACCTTAATTCTTACATACTTGCTCCATGTCTTGATCTTATGTTGTTAAGGACCAAATGTAACCCACTTCTAGAAATTCCTCATATAAAACTTATTTTCTCTGGATTCATCCAAAATGGATTTCCTTACTCTTATAAGGAGACCACCTAAAATAATTTATGGTCTTCTATGTCCTTGCTTTCAAGTAAATTTTTATGAAATATGGATATTATTTAAATAGCAGAAGACATTACATTTCTTTGGATTCATTTCCTTCCACTTCGGTTCATGGATTCTAAGACAGAGTACTAACTAAATCATACTTAAATAATACGCAAAATATGGCATACTTAAGGAATTGAGCTTAAAGTCTCATTTCAAATTTTTCTGACATTACATGATAAATTGAAATAGTGGAATTTCTATATCATTAACATAGAGTTTTGTGTCACTTAATAGTACCACCATAGCTGTGTGACTAAAAATTTGGAAAAATTTACTTTATTTCTCTTTCCTACATTTTTGGCATTCATTCAGATGCATACTTAAAATTCATCGGGTCAGACTTTTCCAGTTTACATACAAATCTATAGGCACTTTGGAATATGCATGAAGGCTTTTAAATATTGCTGTTTTCATTAAAGAAAACCTGGCTAGAAGCTGTAGGAGTTACCTTCTTAAAAGGATTCTCCAGTACATAACGGACCTAATCAAGTTCTTTATTAGAGGACATTCTGATATCCCATAACATTTTCTTGATAATTTGTACTTTCTTGAATTATCATTAATATATTTTACAAAAATATATAAAATACTGTTTTGGAAAATCTTTTAAAAATATTTTAATAAAGTTTTTTTTAACTTTTCTGTTTATTCTCCAAAAATCTTGAAGAAAAGTTTGCTTTGACATTTTTATATCCTGTGGTGCCAAGCACAACATTTTGTCCATAAGCATTCAGTAAAGGTTGAATGCTTCTTTAGCATGCTTCTTGCTAATGATGTGAGCTAAAACGTCTTATGCCCTATGGGAGAGAAAAGAACAATATGCCTTCCAAGTGAATGTTAGCAGATAATCACTTTGTTCTATCTGATGAAATCTTTTCCTATGATTTTAATTTTTATCTCACTGTAGCAATAATTTGCTAAATAAAGATCTTGACAATTCTCTAAGAGCATCTACAAACACTATAGAATCATAGACTAAAGAAATTTGGCCCAACTGAGGGAGGGAAAACAAATGATTACTGAGTTTTCAAAGAGGCTGTGAAGATTTATAAAGATGAATATTCTATAATTAAGAGACATTCCTTGCACTGAAGGGACTGGAGAACTGTATTTTTGGAGCATGTGTATTAACTCCTACTGTATCTTTCCTTGAATGCCATATTGTGGTCACACCGTTTTCATTGGTTTTAAATATTTTTAAGCTCACTTATTTGTCCTTAATTTTTATTGTCCTCTTACTTCAAATGACATTTCACAAGAACATGTTGGGGCCCTTCCCAGTTGACTACTCCCTCCTCTCTGTCTGGCCAGGCTGCTATGTTCTAGTCTGTTCCAAAGGTCACTTGTTCCAGTTGAAATAGCTGTCTGGATGGCCTGGAAATAATCCAGAGACTGGTTCTTTCCTGCAAAGAAAGCAAAGAAAGATGTTTGTTTCTTGGCTACATTTTGAAAGGAAAAAATAAAAGAATTTTATGACTAAGTCTACTAATAGCTGAAAAAAAAACTAATATAACTCTGGGGCAAATTTAAAATTATTATTTTTCAAAGCTTTGTGTCATTTTGCCTTTTTGTATAATTCTTAAAATCAGTTTACTATCAAAATCATTAA